TTGAAAGGTGGGGCCTTGAAAAGGTGATTAGATTGCAGGACTATGCTCTAATGAATAGATTAAAAATGAGGGCTTTAAAAAGAGAGTGAATCAGGAGTTTAGTCTCTCTTTCTCTCTCTGCTTCCACCATCTTGCAATTTGAGACCCCTGGGTCACAGTTGCCACTACCAGATTTGTTCCTTGGACTTTGGAGTTTCCAGCCTCAGAAACTGTAAGCAATAAATTTCATTTTCTTTATGAATTACCCAGTTCCATGTATTTTGTTATAAGCAACAGAGACAAACTAATACACTAAAAAACCAACATTTGAGAAGCCAGCCCTAAGAAGATGACCTATTAACTTGGTTGAGATTCAGCATAGATTCAAAAGAGATTATTTCAAATACATAGACACACTTCACTTTTTAATTTCACACATCCAAACTCAATACATCCTTTTCAGCCTCTGACACTGTCAAGTAGCAAGATCCAGCTACCAATCCCTGGTGAGGATTTCCGTGCGGAAGATGGCAAAGATCACAATGCCAACCACCAGAAAGAGCAGCCAACAGACTTCATCTTCAGAGTTGACAAGAAGGACCCAATACATAAGGTGCTGGTTGGAACAACATTTTACACACAGAAAGAAGGAAAGACACAGCAAGATCAGTCTTTAGTGTTTGCCAGTCTCCTATGGCTAGGGATCCCTCCCAATAGCCGATGCAGGGCTATGGACTATACGCCTGTCTCCTGCTGGAGGCAAAAACCCATTTCCTATGTGGTGCAGATATAGCAGTGAGGCTGGCCAGGTGCCATATGATGCACACGCTTAAGCAGTGCAAGGAAGTTTACTATGTACCTAGAACAGGAAAACAGTTCTAATAAAGAAGAATTTGGAGCCTAGGTGCAGCTCAGTACAGCTCAGGCACCCAGCCTACACATAAGAGAATGTTCCAGGTCCAGAACACTGATTGAGCAATTCTGGGGAGTGGCAACAGGTCCAGCAATGCCTGCTTTCACAACAGATATGCTTTCCAATTTCATCACAGAAAGGCTCTGGTAAAGAGTGAAGTTAATTATGTAGCACATTTTGAATATCCGCATCATTTTTTTTTATTGTAATAAAAAACACATAACATAAATTTACTCTCAGCAGTTTTAAGGATACATTACAGTATTGTTAACTTCATGCATATAGTTAGTTATACATATCTCTAGAACATTTTCATTTTGTATGACTGAAATTTTATATTCATTGACAAACAACTCCCCATATCTTCCTCCCCCAACTCCTGGAAATTACCATTCTGATTTCTGTTTCTATAAGTTGGATTACTTTAGATACCTCAGGCAATGTTAAGTGGAATCATGTAGAATTTACCTTTTTTCTGATTGACTTATTTCACTCACAATGTTCTTATGGTTTACCCACGCTATAGCATATGACAGGATTTTCTTCTTTTTTTAAGGCTGGATAATATTTTATTGTATGTACATGTATATACCACATTTCTTTATCCATTCATCCCTTAGTGGACATTGAGGTAGCTTTCACATCTTGGCTACCGTGAAAAATGCTGCAATAAACATGTATGTACAAATCTCTTTGAGATCCTGTTTTCAGTTCTTTTGGATATATACCTAGAAGTGGGATTGCTGAGTCATATGGTACTTATTTTTTTAATTTTTTGAGGAAACTCCATACCGTTTTCCATAGTGGTTGCACCATTTTATAATCCCACCAACAGTGCACAAGGGCTCTAGTTTCTCCACATTCTTGCTGACACTTGTTATTTCCTATTTTTGTTAGTGTCCATTCTAATGAGTGTAAAGTGATATTTCATATGGTCTGGATTTGCATTTCTCTGATGATTAGTGATGTTTAGCATCTTTTTTCATATACCTGTTGGCCACTTATGTTTTCTTTGTAAAAATGTCTATTCAAATCATTCATCCATTTATTAATCAGGTTTTATTTTGTTGTTGTTGTCATTATTGGGTTGTAGGAGTTCTTTATATATTGTGGATATTAATCCTTTATCAGATAACATGGTTTGCAAATATTTTCTCCCATTATGTAGATTGTCCTTTTACTCTGTGGATTATTACCTGTGCTGTACAGAGTTTTAAGACTTATATAGTCCTGTTTTTCTATTTTTGCTTTTGTTATCTGTGATTTGGGTGTCATATCCAAAAAAATAATTGACCATTCCAATGTCATGAAGCTTTCCCTCAATATATTATTCTAGAAATTTTACAGTTTCAGGTTTCGTGTTTAAGTCTTTAATGCATTTTGAATTAATTTTAGTATATGGCATAAAATAAGGGTCTAATTTCAACTATTGCATGTAGATTTCCAGTTTTCCCAACCACCATTTGTTAAAGAGAATATCTTTTCCCCATTGCATAGTCTCAGCACCCTTGTTAAAGATTAGTAGATCAAATACACGAAGGATTACTTCTCTATTCTGTTCCATTTGTCTATATGTCTGTCTTTATGACATTAATACACTGTTCTGATTACTGTAGCTTTGTGACATGTCTTGAAATCAGGAAATGTAAGGCCCACATCTTTCTTCTTTTTCAAGATTGTTTTGGCTATTTGGTGTTCACTGAGATTTCATATGAATTTTAGAATTTTATTTTTCTATTTCTGCAAAAAACACCATTGAAATTTTGATAGGGATTGCACTGAGTCTGTGGATCACTTCGGGTACCATGGACATTTTAACAATATTGAGTCTTTCAATCCACAAACACAGAATGTCTTTTCCTTTATTTTTGTCTTTAATTCTTTTAACAACATTTTTTAGTTTTCAATGCACAAGTCTTTTGCTTCCTTGGTTAAGTTTATTCCTAAGAATTTTATTCTTTTTAAAGCTATTGCAAATGAAATTGTCTTCTTAATTTTCTTTTCAGATTGTTCATTGTTAGTGTGTAGAAATGCTACTGATTTTTGAATGTTGATTTTGTATTCTTCAACTTTACTGAATTCATTATTAGTTCTAAGAGTTACTTGGTGGAGTCTTTAGGATTTTCTGTGCCAAAGATCATGTCCTCTGCAAACAGAGGCAATTTAACTTCTTCCTTTCTGATTTGGATGCCTTTTATTTCTTTCTTCTGCCTAATTGCTCTGGCTACAAATCCCAGTACTACTTGATTAGAAGTAGTGAGAGTGTGCATCTTTATCTTCTTCTGATCTTGGAGAAAAAGCTTTCAGCCTTTCACCATTGACTATAATGTTAACTATGGTCTTTCCATAGATGACTAGGATTATGTGGAGTACGTTTTCTTCTATTCCTAGTTTAATGGGCATTTTTATCACGAAAGAGTCTTAAATTTTGTGAAAATTTTTTACCATATCTGTTGAAATAATCATGTGATTCTTATTTTTTATTCTGTCAATGTGGTGTGTCACACTGATTTTTTTGTTTATTGATTTTTCCTTGCATTCTAGTGTGTGATCTTTTAATGTGCTATTGAATTCAATTTCCTAGTACTTCCATGAGAATTTTTGCCCTGACCTTCATCAGGGGTATTGGCCTGTAGTTTTTTTCTTGTAGTGACTTTTTCTGTTGTTATCAGGGTAATGCCTCATGAAATGAGTATGTGAGTATTTTCTACTTTTCAATATTTGGAAAAGTTTGAGAAGGATTTGTGTTAGTTCTTTAAATGTTTGACAGAATTCATCAGTGAAGCCATATAGTCCTGGGCTTTTCTTTGTTGGGAGGTTTTTGATTAGTGATTAAATCGCTTTAATAGATACAGGTTTGTTTAGATATTCTATTTCTTCATGTTTAAGTTTCGATAGGTTGTATATTCCTCAGAATTTGACTTTATTTTGGGTTACCCATGTGTTGGAGTGTAATTGTCCATAGTAGTCTCTTATAATCCTTTTTATTTTTGTGTCATCTATTCTAACATCTCCTCTTTCATTTCTGAAATAATTTACTTGGGTCTTCTCTCTTTTTTTCTCAGTTAATCCAGCTAAGGTCTTGTCAATTTTGTTGATCTTTTTAAATATATTCAACTTTTAGTTTTGTTATTATTGTTTTTCTATTTTCATTTCATTTATTTCTGCTCTAATCTTTATTATTTCCTTTTTTTCTGCTGAGTTTGGTTCATTTTTTCTTCTTTTTCTAGTTCCTTGATATGTAAAGTTAGGTTATTGATTTAAGATCTTTTTCCTTTTGGGGCCGGCCTGGTGGCGCACTGCGCTAGTGCGCCGCTTGGGAAGCGCGGTTGCGCTCCCGCCGAGGGTTCGGATCCCACATACGGACCGGTTCCCGCTCACTGGCTGAGCGAGGCGCGGGGGCAACACCAAGGGTTGCGATCCCGTTGCTGGTCCCGGTCCGGTACGGGGGCGACACTGAGGGTTGCGATCCGTTGCCGGACACAGAAAAAAAGACAAAAAAAAAAAGATCTTTTTCCTTTTTTAATATAGGCATTTACCACTATAAATTCCCCTCCTAATACTGCTTTTGCTGCATCCCATATGTTGTCATATATGATTTTTTTGTTTTCATTTGTCTTAAGATATTTTCTAACTTCACTTGTGATTTCTTTATTGACCCATTGGTTGGTCAAGAGTGTGTTATTTTATTTCCACATATTTCTCAATTTTTATATAACTCACAGATATATAGACATATAGAAGGAGATTTTCTGTGAGTGATTGGTTCATGCAAATTTGGAGGCTGAGAAGTTCTTTGATTTGCTGTCTTCAAGTTGGAGGCACAGGAAAGCTGGTAGTATAGTTTCAGTCCAAACCCAAAGGCCTGAGAACCAGGGGATCCAATGGTGTTGGTCCCATTCCAAGTCCAAAGTCCCAAGAACTGGGGGCCAATGGTGTAAATTCAATTCTGAATTTGAAGGCCCAAGAACCGGAAGCACTGATGTCTGAGGGCAGGAAAAGATAGATATTCCAGGTCCAGCAGAGAAAGCAAATTTATCCTTTCATACTTCTTTGTTCTATTCATGCCCTCAACTAATTGAATGATACCCACCTACTTTGGTGAAAGTTATCTTTTTTACTTGCTCTACCAATTCAAATGTTAACCTCTTCCAGAAACACCCCCATAGACACACCCAGAAATAATGCTTTACCAGCTAACTGGGCATCCCTTAGCCCATCAATTTGAGACATCAAAATTAATCATCACAATGTTCTTATTATCTCTATGACAGTTTTTGATTTAAAGTGTATTTTATATGGCCTTCCCTGCTCTCATTTGGTTATCATTTGTGTGAAATATCTTTTTTTCTATCCTTTGCTTTCAGCCTATGTGTGTCTTATCTCTAAGGTGATTATCCTGTAGACAGGATAAAACTACATCTTAATTTTTTTTAACCCATCCAGTCACTCTATGTCTTTTGACTGGGGAGTACTAGTGCTTAAATGTGTCCCCCAAAATTTATGTGTTGGAAACTTAATCCCTAATGCAACAGTGTGGAGAAATGGGATCTTTAAGAGGTGAATAAGTAATAAAGGTTCTGCCCTCATAAGTGGATTAATACTGTTAGCATGGGAGTGGGTTCCTGATAAAAGGATGAGTTTGGTTCCTTTCCTGTCTCTCTCATGCTCCTGCTCTCTTGTCCTTTCACCTTCCACCAGGAATGGCGCAGCAAGAAGATCAACATCAGATGCCATTAACTTGATACTGTCCTTCCATGCCTCCAGAATTGTGAGAAATAATTTAGCCATTCTGTGGTATTCTGTTATAGCAACACAAAATGCACTAAGATGGGGAGTTTAATCCATTTACATTTGAAGTAATTACTGATAAGGAATGATTTACTATTTCATTTCATTAATTGTTTTGAGATATTTTTTCCCTCTTTTCTTCTCTTCCTGTGTGTGTGTGTGTGTGTGTGTGTGTATTTCATTGATTTTTTTTTATACTGACATGCTTTGATTTCTTTGTCATCTTCTTTAGTGTATCATCTATAAACATTTTCTTTGTGTTACCATAGGGCTTATGTAAAATATCATTATAATGATGTATTTTAAGCTTTTAATAACAACTTCAATCACATCAAAAATTCTACTCTTTTACATCTTTCCACCCCTACTTTATGTTACTGATTTTACAAATTACATCTTTACATATGTGTATCCATTAATATAGTTTTTTTATTATGCTTATTTTTAATCCTCTTATCTTTAAGTACTAATACTAGAATTAAAATTATTTTATGACCACCATTACAGTATTACAATAGACTGTATTTGTCAATATATATACTTTTACCAGCTAGTTTTATATTTTCATATGCTTTCATGATTCTTCCTAGTATCCTTTTATTTTAACTTGCAGGATTCCCTTTATCATTTGGTTTAAGGCAAGTCTAATGATGATAATCTCCCACAACTTTTGTTTATCTGGGAAAGTCTTTATTTCTCCTTCATGTTCAAAGGCCAGGTTAGGCCAAAATGGTATTCTTGGTTGGCAGTTTTTTCTTTTAGCACTTTGAATATGTCATCCTGCTCCCTTCTGGCCTTCTCAGGAAGACCTCTCAGAAGCCAGAACATTGAAAACATGCTGAAAAACCTTCTGATAATCTAATTGGAGCTCCATTGTATACATCAAATCACTTTTCTCTTGCTGCTTCCAATATTCGTTGCCTTTAATGTTTAACAGTTTGAATATAATGTGTCTTGGTTTGGGGGTCTTTGTGTTGACCCTAGTTGGAATTCCTTTGATCTTCTTCTATTAGGATAATCAACTCCTTCCTAAGATCTGAGGAATTTTCAGCTATTATTTCTTCAAATAAGGCCTCTGTACCTTGCACTCTCTTTTCTCTTTCTTGAATTCCCATAATGCATAAACTGGTCTGCTTGTTGTTATTCCATAAATCCCTTAGGCTTTCTTTACTTTTCATTGCTCTTTTTTTCTTTAGCTTCTCTGAAACCACTATTTCAAATTACCTATCTTCAGGTTCACCAGTTCTTTCTTTTACTTGATCATGTATGCTGTTCGATAACTCTAGTTAATTTTTGATTTACTTATTGTATTCTTTAGCTCCAAAATTTCTGGGTTTTTTTTTTCCTGTCATTTCTATCCCTTTGTTGATATTCGCATTTTTATCATGCATCATTTTCATGATTTTTGTTTAGTTACCTATTTGTATTATGTATTGTTGAGCTTTCTTCAGACAATCATTTTTAATTCTTTGTAAGGTAATTCATAGGTCTCCATTTCTTGGGGCTGGTTTCTGGAAATCTATTTTGTTCCTTTGATTGAGCCATGTGTCCCTTTTTCTTATAGCCACCTCTCTGAGTCCTTACAAACTGGCTTTGTACAGGGGAATACCCTCGACAATCAGCATGGCTAGAGATTCTGAAGGTCTCTGAAACCTTTGTGGGGGGGATGTGACTTCTCTGGGCTTGTGCACACAATTTCCCAATTAGAGTGGTTTGCTGGTTTCTTTTTCAAAGCTTGCAATCTCTTGTTCTCTCTGGTATTTGCAGTACTGCAGGATCTCTGGTGCTTTAGCAGCAAGCTGTCCTGCTCTCACTCCATGGAAGAAACAATGGTTTGAGTGCCTCCTTCCTGATCATGCTAAGCTGTGCCAACTTCTGTCTGTAGCACCATAAACCTTCTGGTGCTCTAGGAAAGTGCCCTCACTCTGTCTTGCTTTCATTGGCCCCTAAACATTCAAACTATGCAAGTTCCATTAGTGATTTGAGTCAGGCAAGACACAAACTACTTTTCTCAGGAAGACTTCTCAGAAGCCAGAATGCTGAAAACATCTTCCACTCTTCTCTTTTCCCCACAAGAGGAAGCTGCAAACTGAGCTAAGCTGTGCAGGCTTTGGAGAGGAGTAATCACAGATAAAGTGAAATGGCTTTTCTTACCCATTTCAATGTGGCTGTTCTTGACTTTGCACTCACCTAGGGTATTGCAACTTCTTAATTGGTTTCTGGAGTTCTCGTATAGGTATTTTGCTTCATATATTGTTGTTAATTCAGTGTCTCTTTGGGGAAAGAGGATTGGGACTTCCTTCTTCACCATCTTGCCAATGTATCTCAAACATCTACATCATGTTGAAATTTACACCTTGATATTTAAGTTGTCCAAACACATGAAAAGCAAAGTTTAAAGTAGTCATAAACCACTTCCTGTATATCTCATGCATATATATTTATTTTAACTGTATCTGACAGCCAAACTAAAATGGCACTTCACTGTTAAAAAATGCAATATGAATATTGGAGCAACCACTAAAACATGGCATGAAGTGACAAAGATAAAATATAATAGCGACCAAATTCAAATATCTCATGTTTACTCACCTAAAATGAAGAGAGTTTGCAAATGTAGAAAAAGCAGTGAACCTAAAGTCAAAATGAAAGGAGCAGCAATAATTGTTCTTTGCTGTGTTCTTTATAGGCACTGTCCCTTTATGACCCATGAATAAAACTTACATGATCCCCTCTCTCAGCTTCCAAGATCAACCCTAAAGGACGGGTATGTCCTCTACAGTGCAGGATACAAGAACAGGACCTAGTTCCAATGATACCAGAGGAGGCAGTAGATGATATAAGCCAAAGACTTATTGATGTCACTACATTTCCAGGATTTCCCTATCTTCTCAAGTTGATGGGCACCATACTAAGCATTTGGTCACTATATTTCATTTGACTGTCTACTGAAGGCCTGGTCTTGTGGTGTTCAACATAAATTCAGCAATTAATACTGAGTGTCCATCACCTTCAAGAAACATGTTATAGAAGAGCATGACACACACATGAATAGTCCTTTGGCAGTGTGAAGAAAGGACCAACTAACTTCAACTATGGGGTAAAGGGAAGGTGGCATTTGAAACTCTACTCATCCTTTTTCTCATTTCAGTTAACTCATTTATACAATACAATCTTTACGTACATTTTATACAATAGTAATTGATATTTATTGAGGACTTAATATATGCCTGCATACAGATTAATTATACAAGTAACCCAGATAACAGCAGAGGTCAATCTGTCTTTTAACATTTAGATAAATTAAGAGTTTATTACTCATTCTCTGGAACCCAATGCCCTCCCCAAGACTTCTGCTCTCCTGAGGACTTACATTGTCACTTTTGGCTCTAAGCCCCTTCTTTCACTGATGTCTGAATCTTATTCTCTTAATATAAAAGAAATATTCTATTCTTCTCTGCACTAAACCATTTCCAAATCTATTTACAAAAGACACTGTATGTAGCATATTTTACTAAGGTTTGAACACATGGAAGAATTTTACATTGCAAAAATACCAACAACTTAAAATTAGTTATTCCTATTTGTAAGAGACACTGAAGGTTTTTAGTCACAAATTTCTTCCTAGTTCAGACTTTTATAATTTTAATTTTACTCACTCTCTCTCTCTCTTTCCTCCCCACAACACAAACAAATTATGTTTACTTCTCATACAGAGAGGTTAATTATTTCCTTGCTGTTTCTTTCTGAATCATGGTTTTAGAAACATATTTCATAGCTATTTTTTTTAAATAAAGACTTTTTTCTATGAGAAACTCTGTTACAAAGTGTTAAAATGATGCTTTCATTTCTGCTACAAACATTTTATTGTTTCTTTTTTATGACAATGCAGCAAACTAGGCATCATTATCTCTACTTTATAGATTAGAAAACTAATATTGAGAAAGTTAAGCAACTTAAAGTTAGAAAATGACAGATCCAAGAATAAAATCCAAATCATATTCCAATGCCTGTGCATTATGTGTGTGTTTCTATTTATATATTCTACCATGCTTGATTAGTATAAAACCCAAAGCCTAGATCTGCAAAAGAAGTCATCCTCACTTATCAAGAATAGCATATTATCAGTGATATATAAAATTGGAGCCAATAAATTGCAGATATTTTATTTATTCCTGGAGTTTAGAGAAATATCCATGTTTTGTTTGTTTTTATTTGTTTGGTTTGGTTTGGTTTGGTTTAGTTTTCTGAATCTACATAATGCTAACTACTCTCAGAGAGAGAGAGAAACCACTTGATAAGTATGCTCACACAATTCTAATCTGTGACTTCTAATTGAAGAGAGGTTATTAACAACTTCAAGAATATTCCTTCACTACAAAAATAATTACCAG